GGGGGGGGGGTCGTGGTAGTTAGAAGCCAGAAGTCAACTGCCGATTAATAGACATTTTTGCCGTATGATTATACGTTGCTCAAGGTGCACCACGTGGAAGTAAGTCTATAGCACATCCCCATGTTAAAGAAGTATACATGTGCTATGGTAAATGGTTTGGTTGGCGGCGTCAATCGGCATGATTTGGTATGTACAGCATTTTTTGCTATTTCTTCCTATTAGAATTTGAGCATGATTAAACAGTTGAATATGGTTACGCAGTAATTGAAAAATTTTAAGCTAAATTGCTCAAATTATTTGGTTTGAGCATTCAACGACAAATCATTTGTTCATTGGTCTTTTTGTTATCCTGTGTCGACTACTTCCAAATGTGTACATTCACAGAGAATTTCTTCGCGATTTGGCCATGGTATAACCTTCAAGTAATCAATTCACGATTTGAAAGCATTGGTTCCAGTTGAAATGTAAAACTGGCATTGCCGGTATCATCCATCTCAAACGCATGCATTATTAGCAATTGATATATCAATGAAGCATCGATAGCTACTAGTGGATCTGGCAAGTATAGCTCTTCCTCATCGTTGACGGAACCGTTGCTTTCACTCACTCTCTTGAAAAGGTGTTATCGTATTATTTTTCAGTTACCTTCTTAAGCTTAATTCGAAATTTCGATCCCACATCAGAAATATTTAGGCCATGTAATTTGGAATATATGGAGAGAGAAAGAAGAAGTTCTGACTGTTGACTTTCACGAGCGACACCAAAGAAAGCGAAGAGGTCACTGGTTGTATTACTTGCTTGTGATCGTAGGAAGGTGATTTAGGATCGCTTAGCCTAATCAAAATGTCTGACTGACTACCATTTAAGGATAAATTGAAGAAGAATGAATGCAAAATTCCACATGAATCTTGCCCACCTTCGCTACCACTGCTATCAACACGCCAGAAAGTGACTGTGCCTGAAGTATTGGAGACAATTTCCAAAGCGGAACCCCCTGAAATTAGAACTTCGTTCAGCGCCGACGATACGGCTTCGTCCAAATATTCGAAAGTTGCAATAGTTGCCATTGCATGTAGCAAATGTGATTAGAGAAGTGCCCACTTACAGATTCTCGTTGATCATCATTAATACTCTTTGTTACGAGATTGTATTCACTAGTTATTTCGGTCAAAAAAAAGCAAATTAAAGAAGTTATATCTGAAACGAATCGACTTCCAATCTCTTTCCCTGTGTCTCGTTCATTGCGGCTAAGATTTTTAATGTAATCTTTGCACGCTCCAACTTTATCAAAATATTAGCATATTGCAATCTCTGCATAAGTGGTGGTTCAATAATTTGTTTGTATTAGAGAAATGGTGCGCAAGTGATTTGAATGCACAAGTGCCTGAACGGTGATTGCAGAAACATGAAGAAACCACTGTATTCAAAGATTTTCGAGCCTCTTAATGGTATTCTCATTTTCTAGAATCTTGGTATGGTCTTCCACCGTGCAGAAGATGATGCTCAGAAAAAGAAGAAAAAATAACTGGCTGGTGGGATCGTACAGGCAGATCATTTGGGTTCATGGTGAATGCATGTAAACTAGGGGCTCATGTGCACATAAAGAAGTGGCTTTTGGGAAAATTACCTTGCATATGGTCCTCTTTTTCTACTTCGACTCGTACAAAAGCAAGATTATTTCATGAATGTAATCCGCTTATTTAATGCATTCTAAGCGTTGTTTGATGTTCTTCATTATTCTGGTTTATCCTGACACCATCGTCTACTGCATTTTTTCTTTCCGTCCATAGGTTATCCATCCAATTCCTTCGTTTTGAAATTTTTCTACTCACAGAAAACGCAAACCATACTTCTTTTATTCCATCTCTATTTTATGACTTAGCAAACAAATCCATCTGAGGTGATTAGAATCGTGCCACATGAAGCTACTGTCGAAAGAAACTTACGATCACTATCTATATCCGTGTCGTAGTCAAGTGCTTTTAGATCGCGGTTCTTTAGGCATGGAAGAGGGTTTTTATACTGCGGACTCATTCCCTATCCACAAATTATGACAACGTGTTAAAAGGCAGTCACTGTTACCTTATTGGGATGCGAACAAGTTGCGGTTTACCTGCATGAGATGTAATTGAAATTTCATCAGTCCTTGACTAAGTAG